AAATTCTATGTAACGCAAAAACTCCGTCCCCCAAAAACACCCGAACCCTAACCTCTCGCCTATGAAGCGTCGCTCTTACCACTATACCACGCCGCCGTTGGGAGCTGAGGAACATTCATGTAATTTAAGTTTTCTCATGTTAAGCTCCCTGAAACCACCCTCATAACTCTGTTCAGAGAAACGCTCGGCAAATTTGGAAAGCAGATTTGAACTCAGCATCAAAAAACACGTCTAGCAGTGTAGGTCTCATTTCAAATGGCCACTTCGACTTGGGATCCTTCCCTGGTAAGAGGACTGGTCATCACCCTCATTAACGTCTCTTCAGGAGAATTACCTCACTCATAGAAGGCGAGAGCATATTTTTTTTGTCTACAAACTCTTTTGTAGGATGACTACGGATCAATCTCGAGGAGCATGGGGAAGCCAACTTCAATTCATTCTTACTTGTATTAGTTTCTCTGTTGGATTGGGTAACCTATGGAGATTCCCGTCAACTGCTTACGAAAACGGAGGAGGTAATCAGTGTTGACTTTTTGTCGGTTGACAGGTCGTTTTATTTGGAGCAGTTGAGTGATTGTCTTGACTTTTAGCCAGGACTACACCCTATTCAGTTTGACCATTGAAGGGATAAACTCTATCTTAGGTCGAAAATTAAATATAGGAGTTTTTTGAGTTGAAACACTTCACTTTAATTTTTTTTTCTCGCCATAAGCCGTTTTTCTGTGAATTTTTAGTGGTGTTCGTCATACCGTATGTGATTTGTTCGGCACTCGTTGGTCTTCCATGCCTCTATTTGGAATTTCTTATCGGACAACTTACTCAATCTGGTCCCTCTAAAGCTTTCCGATATTTCATGCCAGCTTTGCAAGGTGAGAAGCATTCTGAACTATGTATATTCAAGGGTCCGTGAAAAAAGCTCCAATCCCTGGGGAATGGACGCACTACATACTACATACGCATCGTTCGAATCACTGATCGATACTCGTCTTAGTAACTATGCTTTCCATCCTTCCGAAGTCGGTCGTCGTGGAGGATTAAAGCACAAGCTTGTGCATTGGCTGGCCACCGCTGGCCATTGCATAGGCCACATACGCATGCAATACAGCACTACGATTATGACTGGAAGTCTAAAGCATGGAGCTCCCTAAAAGAAGATAGATCACCTCCGAAGACTTAATCCTTTCTTCTACTCAGATGAGAAGAGTTCGTCTGCGAGCCCTAAAAGCACCGCTATATTCAGGAGTTGGATGGGCAATGCCTATAATAAGCTTATCTATTGGAATTTACTATAATGTTGTAGTAGCATGGTGCCTGCTGTATATTTTTGATGTCATCACACTTCAATCGAGTAAATGGACATCATGTAATAACTTCTGGAACAGTAAAAGTAAGTGAATTTTTTGGCCAGCCCAACCTAATTACATTCGAGTCCCGTAAGAAGGAATATGATGGAGCAATTGCAGCAGGGGAGCAGCTTACCGGTAATTACTGGGAACTAGAACACCGATGAGTGGAAATATAGAGAAATTAACAAACTACGAAAATCTTAACTTATCTAATCTTTGTCACTCCTTTAAGATCAAAAATGAAATAACCTTTGTTTTCAAAGACTAGATAATCATTCACAGTGTGATGCCACAGAGCCAAAGTCAAACTTTTCGACACAGAAGTAGAATTGATTTGATTTTACAAGCATTAAAAATAAGTATGTAGTTTTCAGATTGTAACGATGGCTCCTTCTCCTCTTCCTCCACCACCAGGACTAATTCATCACTTGCAGCCCAAGAATTTTTCCGGTGAAGTTCAAAACAGTCTTCCTATAGGAAGCATTCATTATTGTTCTGCCAACCAGCCAAAAAACTGTGTTGCATTTTTTTGCTCCCAATTTGCCGATACCCGATCCCGTCCAGCTCAGCGAGCACCCCTCCGACATTACAGATAGTTAACGAGCCCACCTGATAGAACAAAACACCGGTCCAATATGCACCCAAGCCTTTCTACACTAAGCAAAACCATTTGCATGCTTGGAAGATTTGAAAAAACGACTTTTGAGCACTAGCACGGACCCACTTTAGGATTTCAAATGAACTTTGAGGAGATTATGTCTAATGTCGTAACAAATTTTACGGGATTACAAATCTGTTTCAGTTATCGATTGTTCATCGAAAATGCCGATGGTATGGAACGTGAAGGTGTTTTCAATTGGGAGATTTTTATTGCTCTGTCTGTAACATGGCTAATAACGTGTCTTTGCTTAATCAAAGGAGTCTCAGAGATTGGAAGGATCTCGTACATAACTGCAACATTACCATATATTATAATATGTAATTATCTTTATGAAACGGGATGCTTAATTGATGTGGGGACGGTCATTTTCATAGCAACTTCTATTGAAGCGATAATGCTAGTTCGTGGCGTGACCATGGATGGTGCTAAAGGTGGCCTCTATTATTTACTACACCCCGATATGAACAAATTATGGAAGTTGACGGTGAGTTTCTACTAAAAAGGAAACGAAGCTCTTAATTTTAGATTCCTACCTCCATTTCAGACCTGGATCGATGCCGCTAAGCAGTTGTGTTACAGTCTTGGTATTGGCCAAGGCGGTCTGCTCGCTTTGGCCTCATTCAACAAGAGAGGGCATAACTGTTTTCGGGTGATTTTTTGTCATTCATGCGAGTTTTAGAACACCAAGCGGTTCTCGGTTATCAGTAGGGTAAACAGAAGGGCTGGAAGAATAATCTAGAATTTGGTCTGTTCTAGAAAATTCCCTGTCAGTGAGCCTCTTTGACCTCTTTACTCCCACATAAGGGAACGGGATCTTCGATCTTCCAAATGAAAGCCTTTTTAGAATTGTCACTAAGAGGAATCTGGCCCAATATTCATTGCATTTTCTGATTAGCTTTCTTCCCCACCCTTCAGTGCCTCCCTTCATCCCTCGATTCCTCAATATGAAAGCAAAAGACCAAGGGCTTCAGATAGAGGAGATGAGGATGAGTGATGCAGAAAGGGCTCGAGAAAAAAGAATAAAAGGTTAGGTTTAATAACGACGAAGTTATATCCTCGTTTTCTTCACCCCTCAGGTGGACCATCCCCTAATTGCATGACATGAAATGTGCAACAGAATGAAATAAGCCTTCCAAACACTTTTGTTCACTCCTTTTTTTCTCTCCGTCATTTTCACTTTCAAATTTCTACTTATTTTTATTTTTATCAGGATGCAGTTGCTGTGATTTTCTTCGATGCTGTGATGAGCGTGATTGGAAGTGTTGCGGTTTTTTCCGTGATTGGACAGCTATCAGTATTATCCGGAAAGCCCATAGAGACCATTTTTCGTTACGAAGGTTTCCTTATCTACACTTGTGTTGTTCTTTTTTCTAACATTTCCTCATAAATTCCATTTTTACCGCTTGAGAACTTATATAGGCGAGGCGTATCGAATCTTACTCGGACTTGCAAAACATGCCTGGTACAGCCCTCAGGCAAACTTAACTGAGAATCGATTTCATGGCTCGTCCTCAGAGGTTTTTGTTTGACCTAACTGCTCCATCTCTGATTCAAGAAATACAGAACCACTGTTATGGGACAAAAACTACAGTAGCGCTCAAAAGTCTTCGGTGAAATGCTTCGACGCTTTTCGTTCATAACTTTTTTGTTAGGTGACTGAATCGCACAAAATTTGGATATGTTCAACTAGAGCATATTTCACCCTACCCAACACTACTTGACTGCGAAGCTGCAATATCCACGGATAGAGCAAGCTGTTTGTTGCGGTAGCAGATTCTGCTAATACTAAAGTTGTTGACATCTGCACCTACTCGCAGCTTATGTGCGTTTTTCTCATCTATTGTTTTAGGCATTACCGCTCCTACACTTTAGACATGACAAAAAGGAAAGAGATTCCAAAAGGGCCATCATCTGTATTTTCAGTCGATTTTGAGTTCATGCTCTTTGGAATATCTGGAAAGTGATTAGATTGCAGGTTAAAAGTGGTAAATGTCCACAGTACACCCATGCTCACATATTGAATTTCGCATGATTAGATCCAGTAGGAAAGGAGATACGACTAAAAAGTTCGGCTGAAGAACCATTTCACCGAAGACTTTTGAGCGCTACTGTAAGTGGTAATAGGGGTTCAAAGGGCTGGAAATCGTGTTTTGGCGGTGCAGAGGTGGTTTTCGGATAAGCTTTTGCCTGCTTCCGACTTTGAACAAACAAGAACAAAGAGTTTTTGATCAAACTCACTTCCTACTAATTTTTTAGCTACTTCTATCACCTTCATAACGTATCCTCAAGCACTCAGCGCCATGCCTGCTTCTGGATTTTTCGCATTTTTGTTATTTTTGATGTTCCTTCTACTAGGAATCAGCAGTCAATTTGGTATGTGCACATACTTTCTTTGGGATAGTTTTAGGTTGTAAATGCTTGTAGTTGTTCAGGGTTCATTCAAAGCGCCATCACGACTGTGACAGATCAATTTCCTTCTTTACGGAGGTGGAAAGGGTTTGTGGTGGTTGGATTCTGTTCATTTTCTCTGCTTGTTGGATTGACCATGTGCTTGCCGGTAAACTTTACTATCCATTGCTACAGTCACCATTACTATTATATTTAACCATAAAGTTTTAAAAGCACAACAGCTGGACGTTTCTGAACCCCTTATAGGTAGGGTTCACGATAATTTTGGTGTAACCCGTTCCTGACGAAAAATGAAAGATACAGTCTACAATAGTACAAGAATAATGAACACAGCACAAAAAAGGGCGTATGAAAAGATATACAAGGACACAAAAGATTAGAAAAATGAGAAGTTGGAGGAGTTCCAGGCGAAAAAAGGCGTGGAAGCAGGGTTTCCCTTTTGTGTTCTGCGTCGCTGACACTACACGGCAAAGTGCATAGAATCCGCACTAGAGCGCAGAGATTGATATGACTAGCTTTCTGCACGAGATAGTCATCTCACCCACCCTGGATCCCCTCACCTAGGTCGTTCTCTATGCATTCTGCCGTCTGGTGGCAGAGCACGAAAGGGCGCTAACATCCCCGACTGCATTTTCTCCTTCAATATGTAGAATACTTACCTGATCCACTCGACTATAGCAACTAATAAGTAGTAGAATAAGATGAATAGTTTCAATGTCAACCTATCGGAGGGAGGTGGTATACTCACGATGCCATGTCCCAGTCCAGGACGTATTTCGAGCTCCACTGGCTCATATGTTAACAGTAGATCCATCGAAACCATACTATGTGGGAAACTCAGAACCCATTGGTAATGTGAACTGTGCCTTTAACTTGATTCACTCATATAGAGCCGATCAGCTTGTAAGTACTCTCCCAGGATGGTGGAAGCACTCGCGTGGTCGTGGGAGAGGCAGAGGTCCCTCTCCCTACGTCATTATAACTTGAATACCTTGCATTCAACTCGATTTCTTTTTCATTTTAAGTCATAAGTAATGATCACATCCTCTTCTCTCCGCTACCTGACTCGTCTGCAGCCTCTTCCCCGTACCTTAACCACATAGATTGAATATGTTTAGCGCTGAAGGCGAACAAAACAGACTGCGCGAAGAAGATGAGTTTCCCTCGATTAGTACCATAGATTATCGGGTCCTCGTCCCAGTCCTATCGTCCTGGTATACCACACTGCAATAACCATTTAGAAGAGTAGGTCTAGGTTGTATAAATAGAACATACCAATAGTGAATTCGGTGAGCGGTGAATTGAACTTCTGCACTATCACTATCGGGGGCAGACGATGTTAGCCACAACTGTAGCACGTTCTGAGTACATAGCATACAGCTTTTTTCAGTCTGGTTATTACTGGTTCAAGATGTTCTTCAATTCGATTGCTGGAACTCCTTTGCTGATCATCTGTCTCATCGAAATCGCTCTCTGTGTGCTTACCTACGGTAA